ACAAACAAAAAGAAAGAAAGATAACAGTTGGCACATATTTTAAGAACGAGTTGCAAGAGAAAAACCCATGTTGATAACGTTTCGGCCGTATCTTTCGCAAGAGCGACCTCATAAAAGCATAATTTCGTCAATGGGAATATATTTCAATTTTATCAGAAGTAGTACAATTCTCTGGATCATCAACTTTCGATTTCTTGGATATCGTACACGTCGGAAACCTCTTAGTGATTCTTTTTATTTTCACTGAACAACAAATGTAAAAGAACTTCCAGATTAATCTGTTAATGATTCTTGGATTTTTCTTCACTCATTTGTTCCTTTATCGATTAGGGGCTGCATTATTATTACCGGTAGTAAGTAATAGCATATAAGGTTATTAATTACTGTAGGTAATTAGAAATAATCTATGAAAGTAGCAAAAGTCAGAAACTAAGTGTTATCAAGTCATATAGTATTAAAAGTAGAGTCTATGGGCTTTTTTATTTCAAACTGAATTCTAAAATCAAAAAAACCACACCAATTTCTTCTGAATCAAACTTTTCTCACTTGATACTACGTAGTCTCACTAAAAACCCTTAGTCCCCCCTAGTCCTGCAAAGTCCCCCTTAGTCCCCCCACAAAAAGCTTAGTCCCCGCTTAGTCCCCTGTGCAGGGGACTAAAGCCTATAGTACACAAAACCACAAGCACACCCTCACCCTCACTCGCGCGCCCACACCCGCACCATGGGTGTGGGTGTGTGTGTGGGTCCCAGACCAACACCCACACCCTCAGTCACCCCCCCCCCTCACTCCTAGACTCACGTTTCAGTTTGAAATCAAGTATTATTTTTATTTGATAAATTCAGACTGAAATTAAATAGCCCATTGTATGTAAAAGTAATAATTCATAGAAGCAATGTTGTTATTAGTGTATTACTAGTAATAAAGTATATAAAATGATTACCAATTATTGAGTAATAATAATAAAAATAATTCAGTAAAACCTTTACTAGCGAGCAGATCTCTACAGTGGAAACCTCGTTATTATTAGCGTTTTTCACGAGTCCGAAAAGTCAATTGTTGCTGAAAATGGACGTCTCGAAGGTGAACACCTCTTTATTATGAACGTTTTTCAGTAGTCTCGATCATGCTCACTTTAGAGAGACTTCACTGTAGTAATGTAGCAACCTTATTATTGATTTCCACATGCTCTGAATTAAACAATACAATATATTTGAGATTTCCTTTTCTTCTATAAAAAAGGATTCGGAGTTTCTCGGAGCTGGAATCGGAGTCAAAAGGTAAAAAAAGTTTCGAAGTTGAAGTTGAAATAGAAGTCGTAAAGAAGGAATTTTTCGGAGTCGAAGTCAGAATCGGAATAAAAAAATTTGACTCCGCCCGTCTCTACCCTTGGATTCTCAGGTACTACTATGGGGAGGTATCATTGGAACCACAAGACCTACTATAGAGGATACTCTTGGATCCTCAAGCACTATTATAGCGAGGTACGCTTGAACCATCAAGTCCTATACTAAGCGGGGGTACCATTCAGTCCTGAAGTCCTACTATAGAGGGCATCCTTGGGTTCTCAGGTACTACTATAGGGGAACGTTTGAATCCTCAAGGTCTTCTAGAGGGGCTAGTCTTGGATCCCCATGTCCCAAATTAGAAGGTATTCTTAGATTCTCTAGTTGTATACTAGGCGGTAATAGGAATCTGATCTTACCGTTACCAGGAAGCTGGTAGTGAGATAGTTTCCTCGTTCTAGGATTACAGTGAGGACAGTAACTTGTCCGTTACCCGGCGATTGTAACGATTAAGTCCCTCGAACTTCTCTAACTATCGGTGTACCTTGAATTTCACATGGTCTATAATCTGGGAGAGGCGACTAGCCATGACCAGCAATCTGAGAAGGTACGCCTAGAGCCTCATGGAATCTGGTATACAGGTTCCTGAAGTCTTTAAAACAGTTTCGGAATGAGCGACCAATAGTTTTGAAGTGCTACTCGATAGAACAGATGGATTTGCCGAGGTGATATCGGATTGGGTGCTGATAGTTTCTGAAGCGCTATCAGATAGAGAGCAGTGGAGTAACCTAACCTTTTCCCAACTAGTAAGTGTCTGAAAAAAGTTACTATTAGCTTGGGACATGATTGGGGACAAGATAAAGAAAACATCGACACCTACATTATTCATCGTAGGGATGATTGTTTGAGAAAACAATGAACTGTTCTAAAGGCTGGCGAGTCTATATCGACGTCGGGAAAGCGGTGACCGGGATTAGTATCTCAGAACCCTGCAGTCGATTTTCTCGATCGAAGAGATGGGCACTCCGAGGAAATGGGGATCGGTCAGAAACTTTTGTATCATAGATTTGAAATTGTGACTTGTAAGTGTAACCTGATTTCGTTTATTACTCAGAAGTGAAGGATTTCACGTGTCGTCGTTTTCGTTGTTTTGTTGAAAATGTGGTTTTAGTGTTGAATTGGAAAACGATACTTATGTACTCTGAAGTTACAATTCGATTCAGTTCTGTTATTATGGAAAGCTGTATTTTACTTGATCGGTTGTGATCAGACAACTGGTTGACTAGCGCACAAATAGGTTCGACTCATGTGTGCCAGAGGAGCAATAATGGTGATGCCAACTTAGGATGCATGGACTTTTCGTGTCTCCTTTGTTGGTTGATATTTTCGACCTGTGGATGTGCACGAATTATTTAGTTTTTCTTGTATTTATGTCTGCGGAATGATTGAAAAATGGCATTTCTCAAGGGGGCTAAGTTTATGGGGATAAAATTTGAGGATATAATGGTAACCAGAGTAGTAGTATGAAAAAGTATGGCACCATACGAAACTTTTTTTGCAACGGAATCGAAACCTTTTCTTAACTTTTCGTAAAATCCCAAGAAATGTTCAAAATAATTGTCGAATCTTCACGAATATTTTTGGACTTTTTAAGTTTCGTGCTTCATAAGAAATCATTTTAAATTTTCGTAGAGATTACAAAACTATCCTTGGTTTCGTACGGTACCTTATTTTTTTTTTAGTGTATTACTTGAAGACCCAAGGGTACCCCTAGTATGGGACTTGAAGGCCCAGGAGTACTCCCTAGTATACGGTTCGAGGACTCAAGGGTACTTTCTATAGCAGAACTTTCGGAGCCAAGGATACCTTCCTACAGTAGGACTTGCGGATCCAAGGGAACCTTCATGTAGTAAAACTCTAGGACCTGAGGGTACTGCTCTTTACTAATAATTGAGAACTCAATGGTACCCATTTAGTATAGGACTCAAGAACTTACGGGTACTCCCATAGTGTAAGGCTTGGGGACCTAAATGTACCCCTCTATAATAGAACATGAGGACTTGAAGGTAGCCCGTTTGATATGACTTGTGGCCTCCAGGGTACCCTCTATATTAGTACATGAGGACCCAAGCGTAGCCTCTAGTATAGGACTTGAGGATCCAAAGATACATCCTTAGTATAAGATGTGAGAACGCAAGGGTATCCTCTATAGTAGAACTTGTGGCCTCAAGGATATCATTACCACCTACCGATAATGGTAACTTCCTACACCTCCTCACCTCTAATATAAAGATTTTAAAAGATTTTGAGAGATTTCTAAAGATTTTGAGAGATTTTGAAAGATTTTAAAAGATTTTGAAAGATTTCAACAGATTTTAGAGATTTTAAATGCTAAAATCTGCTTTTTCCCCCTTGTGTTTACTGCACCCATTTGCGGCATGGAATTTGGGGAATTTCTTTCAATTCGGTGGAATTCCGGAATTTAGTTGTGGCTCGTTTATGCTTGGATATCAGTCCGCATCATCGACTGAATTCCGGAATTGCGTAGAAGAGAAACTAGACGGAATTTCGCGGAACTTCTCGAAATGTGAAATTTGTTTATAGCATGTTTATGCTTCAATATAAATACGTATCAACTAATGTGTTGCCAAAAAGTTTTCTGGAATTTTGTCACTGGTGAAACTCTTTTGGTGCTATCTGTCGATGCCTTCTGAATATCCTCACATTTACGGTTGCCTACCGGCGAGATCTTTGCAACACCCTCACTCTCGCTGTTGCCTGATAGCAAGTTCTCCCGAACACCCTCACTTTTGCTGTTGGCAAATGACCCAGCTTTCCGAACACCTTCACTTTTGCTATTGTCCACTGTCCAGGTCTTTGGAGCATCCTCACTCTCGCTGTTGCCTAGTGGGTGTGAGTGTGAGTGTGGGTGTCAGTGTCGGTGGGTGTGAGTGTGGATGTCACTAAGTATTGATATTAAAGAATTAAAGATTAACACCCACACCCACACCGATACCCACAGCCACAGCCACACACCCACACCCATGTTCTAGTTTTTCTTTAATTTTGCTTTCTGTACAATCTTCTTCAATGGTGTTACTAGAAAATTTCAGTAGAACTTACTACATAGAATCAAGTTTTTCCTATTGAGTTGTGAAATATCACTGTTCTCATACTGCTTTTTGCATTATCAAACTCTAGAGCAATGAACATGTTATTAGGCAGCTTTTGTCTGCTTGTGATGGTTTTTGTCTTGCTGTATCGTCTATTCTGGAATGAAAACAACGGTACATCAATTCCATTAGTCGTACATGGAAAGTATCCTATCGTAGGTCATCTATTTTCTTTTCTTGGTGATCGAAGAAAGTTCTTGATGGAATGTCGTCAACGGTACGGCAACTGTTTCACACTTCAGTTGTTTACACAACGTATGACATTTATTCTTTCGCCTTCGGACTGGCCAACGATCATTCGAAATCCATCGATATATTTTCCAGCAATAGATTTTGGGGTGAAAGTATTCGATACGGGATCTGACATGGTTGGTACGTATACTATTTTGAATCAATATAAAGAAAAAGAATAATTTATTTGTCAATTATAGTAAGTGCACAAGTCGATTCGCAAATGCATCGACTTTATATTCAGTATTTGAAAAACCGCGAAGGTCTAGAGCCCATGGTTATTGAGTTTGCCAAACGGTTACGCACATTGATGATACGTGAAAGACAAGCAATCAAAAGCAGTAATACTCTATCTAAATGGATATCAACCGGTTTATTGGCATTGAGTCATAGAATGCTTTTTGAACCTTCAACTCTGGCTCTATTCGGAGAAATTGATCCACTTTCAATCGAATATGATTTTGATCTTTTCGATAGTAAAATTCATTATCTTACTGCACTTCTTCCATTATGGGTCTACTCAATTTTCTTCCGACGCGTCTTGCAAGTTCGTTCTCGTTTGAACAATTCATGGCTTAAAAAACGGCATCCACCACGTGAGAGTGATTTTGTTCGAGATCGAGCAATTTTTATTCTCGATCATCCAGAATCATTTTCAGATGTACAATATGGTGGAAATCAAACTGCTATGTTATGGGTATCTTTGGGAAATAGTATTCCAGCCGTGTTTTGGTGTTTACTCTATATTTTACGCGACGCAAAAGCTGTAGAAAGTATTCGGCAAGAAATCAATCAGTATTTGCCAGCATTTTCTCTCGATGACGATGATGGTAGTGCGGTAGTTGAGCAATGGACTCTTGATCGATTGGCTTCATGTGTTAATTTGGACAGTGCAGTGAACGAAACATTGCGCTTAGTAGCAACACCAATGCTGATGAGAAAATGTAAGGAAAAAACTGACTTATCTCTTAAAGATGGACGCATCCTACATTTGGAGCCGAATGATGCCATTGCATTGTTTCCTGCCGTAGTTCATGGTGATCCTGATATATTTCCAAATCCAGATAAATTTATCTTTGATCGATTCGTTCAAAAAAGTGCTGACTCTGTGCCCTCTTTTCTCCCTTTTGGTAATGGTAAAAATATATGCCCTGGACGATTCTTTATTAGAAATGAAATCAAAATTTGCGTCGCCATTATTTTGCAACATCTTGAGTTAAAATTTGTCGATATGAAAACAGTTCCTAAACAAAAACCACATCGTGTTGGTGTTGGCGTTGCACCACCTAGTGAAGACATAACGATTATGTACCGTTATAAACTGTAGAGTTATACTATTGAATTAATCATCTAAAG